CTTCAACCTCAGGATACTATTACTCTTTTCCTGTACTCTATGGAGGCCTTTACTGGCTGGGCATTGAACTGGGGGTGGGGGAAAATAACACTGTGCCCAGTAATGACCAGCAGGTTCATCCCAAGAATGTAACTTGCCATTGGCAAGTTGTTCTTGTAAATGAAATCCACTCCACCCTGATATAGCCACAATATTTGGGCTCCCTACAGAAGAATTATGCATCAGTTAGAGAGGAGAACTCATGCAATGCCCAACCTCAGGCCAGAGCACATGCAATCCCATCGCAGGCACTACTCTAGCCCATGTTGCATCATGTAGTGGGGCTGTTGGAGCTACCTAAACATGAATCGGTAGCCCTTTCCCTGGCCTGTCCAGAATGAGGCATTCTACACAGGAAGATGTCCCTGATTCAAGAAAGCAAATTCTTAAATCCATCCCTAGTTAGCAAGGCACTTAAATACATATGGAACTTTAAGTGCATACTTCAGACCCATGGCTCCCAAAATTAAGCATGTTAAGCAAGTTAAATAGTCCCATTGGTTCTTAAAGTTAAGCACATACTTAAGTGCTTTGCTGAATTGGGGCCTATGGAGGACAGATGCAAAAGATCCTCGCTGCTGTGTAGAGAATGAATAGGGAGTATGCAAGGCTTAATACTAGAGCAACTTGCATTGGGCATCTGTCCCACAGGAGAATTTTACTCATAGAAAGACAGACTTTTATTACATAATGTATCTGTTTTAAAATGTCTTAAAATAGTCTAAAATTAAGGAAAGTACATCTTTTATTTCAATTTTTTTCAATGAGCGAGGACTCCTCATCTTCCCAATCCTATCCACTCATTAATCTTGTTTTACATTCACAGATTCCTGTTGTGGTTTCCAAACACAATTAAATGTGCATCCTAAAAAGGGTTCTAAATTATTTAGAAGAAAATGTCATGATCTAAAAAGTAGATAACAGGAGAAGCCATCTTACATTTGCTTCTCACCAACACAGAGAAACCATATTAGAATGTATGAACAATAAGTAAGCTTGAAGAATTGATTATGAGCTAGTTATATTCAGCAGTGAATTCCTACAACTTTGCAGTGCAATAGTATTAGATTTCAGGAAGACCATTTTTTTCTGTGGGTGGATAGGGAAGGAATGACTGAAGTATGTTGGAAAGAATTGTTAAAACCCACAAGGCTGGGGAATCCTAAAAAAACCCCACCATAAATAAGGCATAGCACATTACAATTCCTCTGAAAAAGAAGAATGCAAGAGGCAAGAAGTATGCAGTGTGGCTAACCAAGGAACTGGCTATAGATCTGTAGGTTAAGAAAAGTTAGAAAAGGGTTGAAAGGTCAATGGAACTGAACAGTCATGAATTTGGCCCACTGATGTAAAAGGAACTATTAGCATGAGCAAGGTGATCAAGATTTGTTCCTTCATGAGTTACAGGATGTAAGGTGTTTTATATGTAGTGTCTGCCCCAGATGATTTAGAGAAGAAGTAACCCTTGAAGTTTGGGTGCATCAGGTAGGAAGTTCTGAGGTGAACTGAAGGCTCAGTCAGAAATCTTGGCTTATCCTTTGCAAGCTACAGTGCTTGCTGCTGGCACAAGAGACATAAGACCCTGCATACTGCCTATGAGAATGTTATCAAAATGCTAGGCCAAAGACCAAGAGGAGAGACCATTAGTAGGGCAGAAGGACTGCCTGTGCCTGCCCTCCTCAGAAGCACCTGGGTCCTTGCTCCCTGGCAGGGGAATGGGCACTGGCTAACTTGCTGCTACAGTTTAGAATAACCTCACTCTTACACAGAGATTCACCATATCACCGTTTTGCTTGATTTCAGAAAGTGAGTTTATGGAAAGAATATTGCACAAGCTCTAGTTTGGCTGAAGAACTCCATGTTGCTTTATTTTCAGAAGAGAAATTGTGAACAATGGGACATTGTTTACTCACTCATGTTTAGATTAAAGCTGAAATGCTGCACTTGATGTGTGACAAATTATGTTGTTTTAAATGTATGTTTTAAGCTTTAAAAATTGTTATTGATAACATTAAACATGAAAGACATGCTAAAACTCTGTCTGGTAGAGAGAGATTCAGCATTATTGCTTGCTATTTGGAAATGAACACTTCGTCTTTAAGAATGCCATTGAACTACAATACTTACGAGAGATTCTGCTGTTTTTATTGGAATGGCTTACAATGGAAGGCAAGATGTTTGATCCCTTCTACAGAGGGTCATTCATTGCTAGAACTGTGGTCTTATCAAACATGACTGAAAACACACTTGATTTTAATATAATCATATTTATTAATATTTTTCACTTATGGAGCAATCTGCAAGCAAGAATTTCAAAAAATTCTGTAAACATTAATTCAATCTCACACATCAGCATTCTCCATTATACAGATGGGCTACGGAGGCACAGATAAATGAAGGATCTTATCCAATGCCCACTGAAGTCCATGGGTATGTTACCATTGACTTCAATGGACTTTTGATCAGGCCCTGAGGCTACACTGCAATTAGACACCTGTAGCTTCCCTGTGTCAGGTGACTTGGGCTTGCAGGGCTCAGGCTAAAGGCCTGTTTATTGCAGTGTAGACATTTGGGCTTGGGCTGGAGCTTGAGCCCAAGCCTCAATGTCATTTACTCAGAAATTTTTAGCCCCACACCCTGAGCCTGGTGAGCCTGAGTCAGCTGACCCAGGCCAGTCACAGCCTGCCATGGGTCTTTTATTCCAATGTAGACATATCTTAAGTGGTCCGACTGAGCTAATGTGGAGAGCCAGCAGCAGAGCTGAGACCAGAGCTCAGGACTCCTTGTACTTTATCCACTACACCACAATGCAAGGCAGCTTAGAATCAGACCCCAGGTCACTATGTCAAAGGTGTATGTTCCTAGGAAACAAAGTATCTAAAATGAAGATTAGTTGAGAACCCCTTTTGGAATTTTGAAGACTGAAACACTCAACTCAGCCTAAAATGATCAGCATCCTAATGGGCCTAAACATAGCTAGAAAAAATTAAAGTCTGGTGTCTGTGAGCCAAAACATAGGCCAAGCCACAAGAGCTGATGTTCTTTATACATATATATTTATTGAAAAGAAAGCACATACAATTATTAGCTCCCACTGTGATAATCAGGAAGCAGTGCTCGCACAGTCTCACTGGCCTGACTCTTCCTTGGTACACAGACACAGAGCTGGAGACAGTGCCTCAGCAGGAGTCTTCATGTTTCCCTACCACTACATCCTAGCTACTGTGCAGAGGGATTATGTTAGAGTCAGAAAATACGAGCTTAATGGAGTCAGGACCAGTCCATCTTTGGTGCGTGTGATAAGCTTGAAAAAAATACTCCTGAACTTCAAAGACAAGCAAGTCACCACCCTGGGAAAGTTTGCATGTACTGATTAATTGATTTAAAGTGTTGTATCTAGTTCACCCGGGCTGTCCCAAGGAGGCATTTAAATTTAAAGAATGAAGAGCACCGCTAAAAGTCAGATGATAAAAACAATGCAAAGAAGTTATTAGGACAAACCAGAGCTGCCAAGAGCACATTGAATGGTGTAGCATTAATGATGTTATGCTTTTAACCAGAAGCTAATGTGCAATTTTATTTTATTTTTTAAATTACCTAGAGACAGATTCTTTCTGGACTATTAACTTTTTTTTAGTATTTGGATCACAACTCCTAAAGACTTAGCTATATTTTGACAGGTACTGACAAAGAGTGCCATGGAATTGTGACTCTATTGTCACCTCCAGCATGTTCAAGCTGAAAAACTCAGGATGAGTGCTAGGTACTAATTAGAACTGTTATATTAGGAAAGCAAATACAATGGTGTCTAACATTAAACAAAGCACAGTTCTCATCACAAATGGGTTCTTTTGTGTGCGGGTTAGACTATAAAACCATTTTGCATGCTAATGAGGCACAAACAATTATTCGCAAAGTAACTAGTTTCATGCAATTACAAAAATCACATAAAAAGCCCTATTGTTTGTTGTCGTATGATTTTTAATGCTAATTTTGCAGTTGATAATTTGGGGATTTCATTTGTACCACAGTGTGCAATTAGGTTTTTATATCTGTGAAGGTGAAGGCTTCTAATGGCAGAGTGAGGTTAGGAGGAAATAACTCCAAGGATAAAGAAAGGAAAAGAAACAGTCACCTTCAGAAAGAAGAGGCTGGACAGCCTGAAAAGATGGAGAAAAGAGATGTGCTGAATTCCCATTGGATGAAAAGGGAGCATTTTCTCTGTAGAAAAAAGAGAAAATCTGAAATGAGAGAGGGAAAGAAAATTGGGACCCTAGAAGCAGAGCAGCTTCCAGACAAACTAATGAATATCACTAAGCTGACACATCCTGTGGCTTGGAATGCGTGACAAACTGGAGACTTTCACAAAAACCTTAAAGAGTACAGAAAATTAGAGTAAAAGTCAGATGGATAAGTAGTTAAAATAAAAAGTTCTGGGGCCCTGTTCTCTCTCTGAAAGATATGAGTAACTACTATTTAAAGCCTGTGCAAGTGATTTATAACCTTGTGGCAGGAAGATCAGGCCCCTCTACTCTCCTGGGGACAGTGACTACTTTGGCTAAAATTTTGCCCACATAGCTGTGAGTGGGCCTTTCACCTTGCAATCAGGTGATTGCACATTAAATACAGTAAACATGCCACATGGCATCCCCTTTCCCTCCAACTGACATCAGCCTTTAAACGTTCATTATTATTTTCTAATCGAATACAAAGATTGTATATGTAAGCTGTGATTTTGCATTGGCTTGAAAAAAAAATATTCCATGTGATGCAATTTAAGTATTTAAAGCTAAATAATGGCTACTGGTGGATGTAAAAGTTCTGTTGTAAGGTCAGGATTCAACACTTTTAACTCCATCATATGCTATGTTATTGGGTAATACTGAATATCATAGTTTTTGACTCTATTAAGAAAATATGATTACTGTAAGGTCCACATTATGCTGAAACTGAAATCTTACCTGCAGCAACGACTGCTGTAGAGAAAGCTAGCGTGATGGTCAGAATTCATTTTCCTTTTGTGACTCTCTCCTTCCATTTACCATAATATTAAGCATTTTTGCAGATCTCTCTCTCTCTCTCTGCCTCTCTGTGTTATGCTGCTACTGTTGGTACAGGAAATAAATTTGAAATCAATACATGTTGGCATTGTTAGATATTGTAATGTGGGTTTTTTTTTTTTTTTAAATCACATCTATCTCACCATAACTAGCTGAGCTCACCATTTTCCCCCTTTCATCCTGTATACTCTTTCTCTTTCCATCGCCAGCTTTCTGAATGTATTTTCCATAATAATGTATCCTTCTACTATTGTTGATTTCTTCAGAATATTCCTCCCCCTTCACACCATTCAGTTTTGTTTATGGTTTTTATTTGGAAAAAATCACTAAATCTTAGGAAAATGCTTTTTACATTTTCCTGCCACTGTGCAGCATTTTAGAAATATTACCAATTGCTACGTGAATAATTGATTCATGGCTGTCACAGCATGGAGGTGACATTGTACCTTCTTATTCCTCTTCCCCCACCCCCTGCCGCTCGCTTAACCTTTCTTCTTTTTGTATCCTTTGTTGAAAAAAGGCCATGTAGATTTCATCAGGAGTAGGTTCCACATGTGCAAAGTTACCAGTAAATAAGGAGAGAAAGCATTCCTTTAAGGAAACTTTACCTTAGGTATTGTTGGTATTGTTGCTTAATTTAGTATAAATACTGTAATAATTCAGAAATGTGTAATCAAAATTGTATTTAATTGGCACTGCAGATTTCCTTTATAAAGACTATTTAATTCTCTAGACAATTAACTAACTCTGTTTATATGCAAAGAAGTTTGAGGCAGAAACAAGAACTTTATGTAATAGCTGTGCAAAACTACACTCCATTTAGATCTAATTTGAAAACCATATTTAATTTAACATTAAAACTCTAATTGGCCCTCTGTATTGTAGCATTAAATACTAACTATAATTTGGATTTCCTCTGCTGTTTTATGATGACATTAAAATATACTTTTTTTAAAAACTGGCTTACCCATACATGCATCCTGGTTATAGCCTTCTCCAGCAAAAGGATAGGTTAGCCGATTCTAATATTTCATGTTTGTGTAAGAGGCATATGTAGATAAGAATTAGACTGCTTACTTAACAGTAGTTCTGGCAAAAATGCTTCTTAAAATTAGGATAATATTTTGGAAAACTCAAGGACATTGAGTATAATGACTTACTAAACTGGACATTTATATGCAATCATGATCAATCTTAATAAATGTACATGACATAGGGAACTCATCTGGCTTTTGAGAAACAAACTATAAGAACAAATTAAAATAGATTTAATGCATTCTTTCTATCAGATTTCAAAATCAGCCCTTATAATGAAAAGAGTGTATGCTAAAGCATTCTCAGGGAACTATTCACAGGAATTGTGTAGGAAAGGCAGATTTAAACAAACATGCACATTTTAAATAGAACGTTGTATTAATTATAAAAAAAATCTGAAGATGTGTTAATATAAATCTATTATAGATATGTTCATATAAGGGGTAAAATACATCAGTAAGCTGGCGGTCACCTATTTCTGGCTCTGCTACTGACTTACTGGGTGATCATGAGCAAGTCACTTAAGCCCCTTATGCCTCAGTTTGCCCATCTATAAGAGAGGTACAATCACACATACACATGGATGTTGTGAGTTAAAATTAATTGTGCATTTAAGGCAGAGTCCTGTATTGGGAAGTTCCACAGGATTTCTGGGAAGTATTGGATCTCAGAAAGGTACAATGCCTCTCAGGATTCTGGGGAGACCATGGCAAACACAACAATTGTGCCCCTTGTCAGGTTCATTATGTGCTTCGTCCAGCTTCTGCCAGCTCTTGTGGAGGTGGGGGCAGGGCAAGGACACTATTCCTTTTCATCTCCTTTGGAGTGGCTAGCATTACTGTGGGCACTATTCTTTGCACTCATGAGCACAGAGACTGCAATTGTGCCTGGCTCCCCCCAGAGCCAAAGCCTCCTTGAACTTTCTCCCCAGTTGCACAACTGTGCAGAGTCATGCAAAATCTGGGCCTTGGGGTTTTCAAACTGCTTTGAGATCCTCTTCTGAAAAGTACTATAAGTGCAAATAAAGTGATTTTATATATTTACAGGGACAAATTCTGATCCATGCACCAGGCCTAACTGGGCTGTGAAGAGGAGAACTACATGGGGGGAAATCCCAAAGCCTACACCTGGTAGCAAGACTTGAGCACTTGCATAAGGCCTATGCAGCAATGGTTGCCTACAGTCCACTACATAGCCTTGATGTGTAGACTTATGCCAATGGATCTGTGTAGTTATGGCTGTGCCCTGATTTTCCCCTTGACTCATTTCTACATCTCACCTCCACCAATCTGCTGCAAAGGACATCCTGGAACTTTGGTCTGCATCAAGCAGGGATGTGAAGGAGCTGTGTATTGCACCTTCTTACTCTGGCTCTCTCTGTGCTGCAGTGGAATCATGCTACCTTAGTTAGAGGATTTAGACATTTGCCACTAAAGTTCATGAGGCTATTCTTATACTGCAATACCATGCTTCATTCCATTTTGTCCCTTTTGCTCCAACCCTAGCTGGCCTGGTTGAATAGGACAAGGAGCTTTTCTGAAACAGACACAGTTGCTGTAGAACACATTGACCGGAAGATGCTATAAAACTGCTACACATCTTTTCTTCCCCCCTTCAGTGATTGAGCATATCACGTCATTCTGTGTCCGGGTTTCACCAGCCTAGTGGCTTGGCATCATAACTCTCTCTTCTCAGCTGATATCTCATACTTTGTTCATCTGGGATGACTTGCACTACTGTTTTATTTACAACACAATCAGCTGCCGTAGAAAAGGGAGCAGTAACTGCTTTTCCATAAACCTTTTTTCTCGCCCTATATTATAAAGTCTTATTTTCTTTTCACCTCTTTCAGAAAGAAAGCAGTAGGGGGTAAACTGAGCAAACTTTATGTATGTCTCTAATTCATCTACATTTATAGTATGTTTTTCAGGCTCTATTAGCAGAAAGTATATATTAGTCTTACCTGATAAAATATTTTAGTTTAAATCTCTCTCTCTTTCTTGGCAGTGCTGGCAGCAAGACCAACTCCTGGTGGCATGCTGAGACATCCATCAGCACCTTGCACTTTTGTAGAAAGTGACAGATGTTGGTCATTATTTCAGCACTGTCACTGAGTCCCAATGGTCCCAAGAATGTTTCCTCTTTACGAGAGAAAGGATTGCTTCAGAGGGCAACATTGTGGCTTCAAATGTCATAATTTTAGACCATCAGCGCAATAGTATATTTTAGGCCCGAACCACCATTTTGGACTCCACTATTGTTATTGTTTAGTATTTGCTTCTGGTAGATCCCACAGTGTGCTTGGTTCTTTCCAAACATTCAGGTCCTGCTCCAAGAAGCTCACAATCCCAGGACAGAGAAGTAAACAAAGATTAGGGAAAAAAGAAACAATAGGCAATCCACCATTAACTGTAAGGAGGATGGCAGAAGTGGGTCTTTAAAAGAGATTTAAATCTGCAAAGAGTAGAGGTCTTGAAGATGAGCACTTCCATTGCTGGAAATATTTTAAACTGGGATCATACATTTGGTATTTTATTGCACCAAAAACAATGGCAGGAAAGCAGATTCAGCATGAAAATGCTAGAAATACATCTTCCAGCATGCAGTGTGTTAGCTCATTTTATCCTGTAATTATAATGAATTTCTTATTGGACCCTTTCTTCCCTGGACATTGCCATAGTGTGAGGACTAAATACATCATCAGTGAGCCTCATTCTCATGTATTACACTAATATATCATTGGAATGACAACTGCTTCTGATGATGTATTAATGTAATACATCAGAGTGTGGTGCTCCTATGGGGTATTACTTAGGAACTGGGGCCATCTAAGAAAAACAGATCCAGAATCTGATACAGTTTAATTACAGAATGAAAAGGTATATCAGTACTAAGGTGATACGTAATGCTCAAGTTCTTACATCATGCGGAAGATTAATTTGCGTGCTCATTATATACAGCCTTTGCAACTTTATATGGTAATTGCAGAATTTGGATTTGTCAGCTGATGTCAGTGATTCACAAACCATAATCTCCCCCATTATTTTACAATCACCCATGAATAATTCAGATATCTCATTTTTATTCACATTCCATGATAGTTACAGAGCACATCAAATGTAGCTATAAAAAAGGATTCAGGAAAAACAACAACAACAACAATACTGCATCTGATACTCTTTGTTTGTAGTCACTGGGTACCATATAAACATTTTCACTTACATAGTGCTTACAGAAGCAAGAGGCAACTGGTATTTGCTTTTGCAGTCAATTGTGTAGCACACTTCGCGCATGTCCTTTGTCTTAAAGCTATCATAAAGCATACATAATTCCTCTGGTTTTTTTTTATTTTGCGTGAGACATATTTTTTTTTCAGAATCCCCCAGAGATTCCAGTTGTGTATTCTACTGTACTTTGATTTAAGTTATGAGCTGGATTCTGAAATGCTTTTTAACAATAGGATTTTCATAACACTATTGCAGTGTCCATTAACATGAAATATACCCAAAGCATTCTTCCGCTTCATGCCAAACACACCTGGTGTTTTTCTGCATTTTCAGTCACAGTATTTTATAAGTTACCCAGAAGAATCCACCTAGGTATTATGAATCAAATCGGCACTAAAGGTGATAGCATTTAAACTAAGACTTTTGGTGGTCTTTCATTTCATGTTTATTAAAATTATAACCAAATGATGAAGATTATCGTAGAACAGTATACAGCAGCCATCCAAAAAGACACAATTTAAATTCAATTTTGTAAACATCTTACTGCCTCTACTATAGATACTATACTTATTCTTAAATGGACTGTTTTGTTTAATAAGCATTTATCTATTGTTAATGTCTTTGGAGAATGCATCTTGGGGTTTACACTGAAGATAAATG